TCTTTCCCTTTCAAAAAAGAAGGAAATTCTTATCAAATGAAAACATTGAGTCCTACCTTAGGGTTTTGTATCATTCCATGACATTCTCTGTCACCAGAACTGAGAAAAGCATTATCCTGCTGCACTCCCTCTATATTTATTGTTGCCTTTCCAAGAGAACCCCATACTTCATCCTTTTTGAACTTTTCATTCATGGCCTCAAAATCAAATTCTTCAGTGAATTGTGGAGCTGTGTATTGAGGCTGCAAAAATCAACACACTAATACTATAATATTTACACATATGTAAATAAATATATATAAATAAATAGAAAAAGGGAGCCAATACATGAGTTTAGTGGGGTTTGGAGAGGTGAATATATGCAGCTTTAACCTGTGATCTCCAGCTCACAAGACCACAACCTTATGGTTGTGCTAAGGCTTGCCCTCATTTTATAATTAATTATATATAGTAGTACTAAATTTAAATATTTTCCCCTGTAATAATTATTATGATATTTAAATAGATTAGTTATTTGCCACAGTTTGCTAGATCTGGTAATCACATGCTTCTAGTTGTGGAAACTGCTTCTCTGCTCACAAGGTAAGAGGCTATATACATTTGACCCTCAATGGTAGGAGCATCATGCATGTCTTTTTTTAAGTTATACAGGTAATGAAAATCTATCCAAATTGATGAAATGAATTGGCACTTGCAAAAGCTAGCAGTGTTGTTTGCCCTGATAATTAATTAGCACATGCAAAAACCCATAAGACTACGATGCATGCAACCCCCAAAAAAATTGAATTAAATACCTATTTTTATGCCTAATTTTGAAAAAAGAAAAAAAAAATGTAGCTTCCACTCCAGATGCGACTATGAAAACAAGAAATATTCTTCTATACATTCTAGGAAGTAACCTTCATGAAACAAACAGACTCCTGCTTAAATTTTACAAATTGAGAAAAGTGCAATTGATGATTTTGCGCAAATTTCATGTTAAGTTGTTAACAAGTGACCAAAGAAGTGAGAGAACAATGAAGTTTTGCAAAATTTTACAGGCACAACCTAGTAAGCAAAATTATGGTAGTCTGTTAATTTGGTTTATGAGCAAGACATGAAATTTTAAGTCTCTGAAATTTCCTTCTTTTCTTTTCCATCCCTCGAATGCAGAATTGCAGGTTTAATGGTAAGAATATCCTTATCTATTACAGCTCCCGTCCACATCCCATAAGATCTTCAATTCAATCCAAAGTCCAAACAAAATTAAAATTACAAATGACAGAAAAGCATGTAACATTGAGCCATTTCTGATAAATTTAAACTATTCTTTATACTCCAGTCAGCACTAAGAAACTCATTGTATACAACAATTTGCATGCAATTGTGGTTTCAAAAACAGACCAATAATAAGACATACAAAAATATCCTGTCCTACCCTACCCAACCTGCACCACCACCAAAAAGAGCATGAGTAAATTTTCTAACCTTTTGCACCACAGTTGGTAGTGGAAGTAGTGGTGCCTGAGATGCTGGAGAAGGCATTAATGCAGAGGAACCAGAGGATGTTAGAGACAGAGAACCCATATCCTTCTGATTAAAATTAAAATCACTTGCGTAAGTAAATAATTGTTCTCTAACATGTGCAAGTTCATCTGGGGTAAACAAAGGCAGTGCAGTTGGCAAGGGACCTGAAGTAGAATCAACAAATGACGAAGCAGAATGATCGACAGAATGTCGAGGATGGATTGGCCTTGGGTCAGGACAAATGTTTCCAGATAGTTGAGTAATAGAATTTATGTCTTGGAGAGGTGAAGAAAACTGAGGCATGTTTGATCCATCAAAAGTCATGGATGCAGAATATGGCATAGGCGTCTTGGTAGACAAAAGGGGTAAAAAATCAGGAGAATCAAACAATTTTAAAGAGGAAAGAGGAGGTGAAGGAGTCAGATTTACAAGACTAGAAGCTGTGACAGAAGATACAGGAAGACCACTCTCTGATAAAGCTGCCCATCCCCCTTGTGCAGGTACCTGAGTTTCTGCATTTGGCATCTTATTCTGCACAGCTAAGGATGTTGCCATCAATGGGGGTTGAAGAGAACTAGATTTTAGCAGAGAATGAGAACTATTGCTAGATGTCCCACTGTGTCCTTGCCAATACATTGCTGTGGAAAAAGATGGATGACTAGCAACCTGAGTAGCAGCAGATAAATTTGAAGGGGCCGGCTGAGTTACAGATTGATGAGAAGCCAACCCAACAGGAAAGGCTCTACTGGATATAGCAGGGCAATCTTGCCTTTGAATTGATTCTGTCAAGCTTCTACCACCAGCTGGGGCCACCGGAGAACTTAGCACCCCAGAATATTGTGACTGGGAAGGAAAAAAGAAAAATAACTTATAAGAAATAGCAAAGTCACTCGTAAGTAGATATGTTCAAAATACAATTTTCTGTTTGTGCTGTCCTTCAACACAGGTACCTGAATAATAGCTGGATCCCTAAAATTCTTCTCTTCTGGTTTAGCAGATGTTGAGGGTGACTTGACCTGCAAATTCTGAAATGGTGAAATTCATAAGAACATGCACACCTTAGATAAGCATAGTTGGCATGCATATGGGACAAGTTTTTATGACAATATGATTGTTCTATTGCTATTGATAGAGACTCACGTATACAAATACACCCTACAATTACAATATCAAAAGACAAAATAAGTCAACAGCTTTGGATTACTCTTTTGTGGAGTCCATTCCATTTGGTTTTACTCTTATTTATTCCAGACTATCAGATTAGATTTGTTCATTCTTAAGTTATCAAAATGTCACTCCATATAGAAATTATTTTTTATTAGTTGTGGTGGAAATTATATGTCGAGCAAAACTTAAAAGAGAGAAACAACACTCCATATAGAACTTAATCTCCATCCATTGAGGTAGAATTTATACGACTAGCATAACTCAAAACAGAGATTCAATCAATCAATTGATCAAACCCTCAGTCAGCTAGCTTTCACTGTATAATTTCATAATAATTTCTCCAACAAACTTTCAAATATCCATCAACCACACCCCCTCCTAACTAATTGTTGGAGTTCAGCACATTTCAATCAGAATATGTGATTCTGATTCAATTCTGATTTGTACAGCAACTATAGAACTTAATGTAAATAGGATCAGTTTTTATTTCATATTTTTTCCTTATTTAGATACGGCATTTATAGGGAGAATAATTTCCCTGATTTTCATGACTAGATTAGTCACATATTTTATCGCATTGTATACTATTTGTACCTCTTCTGAGTCTTTTCCCAAGTAGAGAAAGATACAACATATTTCCGCATGATATCATAGCACAATCTAAACCATCCCTAACCTAGAGCTGCCAACCATGAGAGAGAAAAAGCCAGAAGGTTTGACCACCAGTTTGGTCAAAGTGTTTGCTCTCTCTATCACTGGCCACAAATTGAATTGCCATAACAACACTCAATGGGTGTGACCAATTAAAAGAAAAATCAACCCAACAATGGCAGCAAGGGGTAACCAGCCTTATCCATTTCAAAAGAAAAATGGGCAATTACTATAAGAAACTAGGTCACACTAAGGACACTTGTTGGATCAATCATGATAGGCTTTCAAAGGTGAAACAAACCTAAAGTTGGGACAGCAAAGGTAGCATAGTTGTAGTGGCACAAAAAGTTAATTTCTGGCATGCTTTAAATACTAGCAAGGGAAAACCAAAGCCATGGATCATTGGCTCAAGAGCCTCAGATCACATGACTAGAGACTTAACTGTGTTTAAAATCTATTCTCCATGCCCAAATAATTACACAATTTGGATAGTTGATGGTACTCTATCTAAGGTCATAGGTAAAGGTTCAGTTGTTATCTTACAAAGCATTACCTTGAATTCAATCCTTTATGTGCCTAAACTAGACTCGAATGTGTTGTCCATTAGCAAACCGACAAGAGATTTGAAGTGAGTCACTAAATTTTTCCCTAACCTATGTGAATTTCAGATTTTGGAGTTAGGGAAGACAATTGGCAATGCTAAGGAGTGTGTTGTACTCTACCTCCTCCAAGTTGAAGAGTTAGAAACAAAACCTAAGGCCAACTCTTGTGCATTAGTTCCTCCAACTAGTGAAAATCATGTGATGTTATGGCACTATTGACTAGGCCATTCAAATTTTATGTACTTGGAAAAATTGTTTCCCACATTGTTCAACAAAAATCAGAAGTTGTATCAATGTGAAGTTTGCCAATGGTCCAAACATACTATCAGCTCTTATCCACCTCAATCCTATAAACTCTCTCAAGCTTTCTTCCTAATTTATAGTGATGTATGGGGACCATCACCAGTCAGCAATGTCACTAGGTCAAGATGATTTGTAACCTTCATTGACGATCACACACAGGTCACCAAGGTTTTCCTAATATAGGAGAAATCAGAGGTTGGAAGAATATTTGAGTTATTTCATACTAGTGGAAACACAATTTCAAAGCAGAATTAAGGTGCTTATGAGTGACAATGGAAGAAAGTACTATTACACGACACTAAATTCCTACATTCAGAAACATGAAATCATACACCAAAGTTCATGTGTAGATACTCCTCAAGAGAATGGGGTCGCCGAGAGAAAGAATAGACAGATGTATCAAATGTACCATCAAGGCATCAAGCCTAATATGATGTGTAGATACTCTCAAGTTAGCAACAAATGTACCAAACCAACATTGCGAAGAAGTTGTCCTCTCCACAACTTACCTCATGAACATGATGCCTTCTCGAATCCTCAACTTTAACACCCCTCTCTCCACTTTCCAAACCTTACACACCACTAGTCTAACCTTCCAACCATTCCTTTGAAAATATTTGGATGTTCAGCCTATGTCCACAACCTAAGCCCTCATCACAACAAACTTGACTTGAAATTCATCAAATGTATCTTCCTCAACTACTCTCCTCACCAAAAGGGTACAAATGTTATTCTCCCAAACCAGAAAAATTTACCACACCATGGATGTCTCCTTTTTTAAGAATCAACCTTATTACCCCAAAGTTGGCAGGGGTGTTTGTTAGTTGGGTCAATTCGATAAAACTAATGCTTCAAACCAGACCATTTAAGTTGGCTTGGTTTTTTTCTTCTTAATTGGATCAAATTCGACCCAAATCAATTAAATCTGACCTTAATTCTTATAGGTACGAAGAAAAGGGAAACAAACCCTGCCAAAAATTTAAAGAAAGTTGTAATCTAGAAATTATCCAAACAGCTTGTGATAAGGTATAGCAAAATCAAGTGAGGGTATAGGGCATCTATTAATTAGATAAACACCAGTAGCAAGCCCAGATCCTAAAAGTTAAGGGGTAATGAAGCCTAAGCAAGAAGAGTAAGCCCAAGGCCCACTGTGTGACTATGTTTGTGTTCAACTACACCATTTTGGTGATGAGTATGAGGACAAATCAACCAATGATACCAATTTGAGATAGATAAGTGGTAAAAGGTAGAAATTCACCTCCCCAGTCGAATTGGATGAATTATTGTAAGTTTGTAACCTTGTTGAGAAGTGTCAGTCAGAGTCACTATAGCTACATTCGCCTCTAGCTGCAAAGAAACTTGCAATTTAGGAATTTCAACAAGATTCAATGAAATTCCAGACTTCTTGAACTTTTTAATCCGCGCTTCATGTGCAAGAAGAGGCGTCTCAACTTCATCAATCACCAAAGATTCAACCTTACTACTGATAAGAGAGATTGAAGATCCATAATCTTCTAGAAGTCCTTCAATAATCACATCAATTTGTTCATGAGAGGAAATAGTGTTTCCAATGGCTGTGAGAGCATCGACAAGCAACTGAATGTGGAAAAGGTACTCAAAAATGGTGCAATTCTCTAGCATAGCACTTTGAAGATACATTCGAAGTTGTCGCACTTTCACATTCGTATGCGAGTGAAAGGTGTGGATTTTATCCCATGGTTGCCAAGCAAATTTGCAACTAATTACGCAAAATAACATTTTGCACGACATCCACAATTGTAACCAAGATAAAAGAAGTTGATCCTGTTGCTCCCAAGCAATATCATTTTATTATAGGAGATTTAGTTAGATGAGATCAATATCAAATTATTCAAATCTGATTTGATTCTCCTTTATTTTCTTCTCCTTATCTTATCTTTACATTTATTTTGTAATCAAGGTGATTATGATTTTTTCTAATCATCTCTGTCTATATAATCTCATCATGTAATTCCAATTAATGTACCAAAATAAAGATCTTTTTATTCTCTAAAATCACATATACTTATATACTAGAACCTTGAAACTAAGATATAAAATAGCAATACAATCAAGGTTATCAATCTCGAGAGTTTACATAATCACATTGAGGCCCAGTAAACTCGTAAGAGTTTACTTAATATAAAAAAAATGTTATAATACTTATAGCATAATAACTCAACATTTCAATTTCATATTAAAGTAAAATAGCAAATGACAATATTAAAGTAGCAATGTTTAGTAGCAAATCATGAAGAATTTCACACAAGACAATTTCTTAAAATGACAACAAATAAAAAACTAAGAAAAGACTAATTTTTTGCTTTTAGCACCAAAGGAGATGATATTGCTCGAGATTACTCAAAAACGAGCTTCTGAGTTGTATAGGTGGAACAGACCAATCTCGTAAACTCGATAGTTATTATGAGTTGTAACTCAAGATTGACAACCATGAATACAATAACATAAACAAGCTTTATTACACTAGGTGAGGTTAGATACTACACAACAATAATCAAAATTGTACAACCACATGATTAGTTTGCTTAATAGTAAAAGATTATATATCAATTAAATAGCATTGCTACAATTACCTTAATGTCATTTCCTCGAAAAAGAATGTATTCATAAACCTTTTCACTTGGAGGAACTTGTGGACCATCTTTTCTTCTCCCCTCTGTTCCATAGGATCTAACTGCAATCTCATATCACAAGGATTTCCATGTTATAAAGAAACTTTCACATTGAACAATTACAACTTTCAGGAGAATGGGACTACACTAGGATTGCCACATAATAAACTCATCTTAGAGTTACAAACTATGATATTTACTTCATTTAAAAAATGCTGCTGATATATACAAATGCCCAACTTTCCATAAGGCATTGTTGCAAGCATCTTTTAGCATGATTCCCTTTGGTCCATTATATAAGAAACAAATAACTAATTAATCAAAACCAATAAAAGTAGTTAACAGTTAAGATGGTTAGTTTTCATTAATGTCGTATAATTAAATTTATTCCAAAAATACCCTTTGAATAGATTGGTTTAAATTGTGATAGCATTAAATGGCACTAAACCTAATTCAAGAGATAATTTTTCCACCAATGAGTGTAATTTATATTGTTATTGTATCAATATGAATACCCTTACGTTTGCATATACATAAGGTGACATTTTAGGATTCCATTTTTTAGTATTGTGGCCAAAATGAACTCGTGCCCCCATCATCTCTTCCAAAATTATGTTCCAATATCTTTTTATTATTTATATTCATCCCCACACTTTTCTTTCATTTCCATTTTTTTATTTTGCAATGATGCATCCACTTACATGAGAGTATAAAAAAAATTAATAATTAATACATCTTAAAGTAGGTACTTGTTTCTTATAATTAGGACAAAAAAAGTGTACTCATTTGTTTCTACTTTCTTATATAAAAGACCAGAGAGAGTGGCATTTTTTTTATGATGGAAAAAAAATTAATAAACATAAGTGGAAACAGAGATATGGAAGGGGTAATGTTTTTAGTTTATCAGGACAAGAAACCATGTTTTCCATAATGTAAAGAAATCAACATAGGTAAGGTCCCTGTCTTTCCAGGTTTACAAAATACACATAGAGGTGGAAATTCAAGCGTACCCCCGCAAAAGGTGTAGAGTCTAGATAACAAATTGATGAATATCATCGGTCTAAAATGTTATAATATCAGACTAATGCAAAATTATCGAAAGACATAACTATGAGTTAACATGATTGTGTTCTACATTACTCATTGCCCTAGGAAATAGAATAATGAGAGTAGCTCCCAGTCCAACATTATGCATAAAAAAGAAGGAAAAATCATGTCATCATCAGCCTATTAATTCTGCAATCTCCATCCATCAACAGCATTTTAGGCATAAAATCAGTACCAAGATTTTAAAAAAGGTTAGCAACTGCAATTCCAGCTGCAACATCAAGGTTTTTTATTTTGGTGTTCACAACCACAATTGTGGCCGCGACAGCCGTATTTGTCAGCAAATTCTCGCAAGGCAACAAAACAGCAATAGTCTGGAGCAGCAGATTACGTATTATATTGGGTTCGATTTCTATTATCGGCCCAAACATACTCGATGACATTCCTCCTGGCTAAAACTTCCGGTAAAAAAAAGCATTCTATTTATTAATATCTTCGCTTGAACATTTCATTTCTAGCAAATAGAAGCACCACGAACGCTCAAACAATTTATTCTTTTCCACTTCAAATACCAAAGCTAATATTGAATCATCAAAGAGACGTTAACTTGCTATAATCAAACCATCATTCAAACATTTCTCATCCAAAGCACCGCGGCATGATCGATAATCGTAAAACGAAATATAAGGTGATTTGAATGCACATTTAACGGAAGTGGACGTTACGTTAACGGTAAACGTACGTACCGTTCTTCAAGCCGATGGTGGAATCGTCAAGGTTAAGGATATAGAGAACGCCCTCGTAGCGAATCTCGAACTTGGAAATCAAGCTTATGAAGGAGCCAATATATGATTCCGCGGAATTGAACGAAGGAGATGAAGGAGCGTTGGCGCCGAATTCACTCGCCATGTGGCGTGGAAGCGGTGGCTCGAAATCGAAGCGGAAACAGGTTCGCGATCACTCTGGAAGAGAAGAAGACAACGATGGAGGGAAAAATGAAGGGAGATTTTGGGAGGTGTTAGGTTAGGCTTCTAGCATTAGGGTTTCTCTCTCGCTCGATCGATCGAAGGCACGCTTAAATGGTTGTCTCTTTCGTTGCGTTGCGTCGCGCGGGTGTTGCGTTTGTGAAAAGTTGAGCGAGCGCCAAAGTATTATGGATCGCAAACACTCACTAAAACGGACAAAGAAAACATACCAAGTATTTGCTAAACGATAATAAGCGGGCTTTCCTTCTCTCACATTCTCCTTCAAATATAAGCTTTCACCAAATATATACAATTAAGTTAACTAGGATGTGTATGATTTGTTAAAATGCTTTAATGCTTATATTTGAATTTATTTCTTTTTCATGTATCTTTTATCAAAATTAATCATGTTCGAATAAAGTAATATTACTATAAATAATAAAACTATTATTTAAATTATTTAATATAATTATATATACAGGATTTGAACTCAAAACCCTAAACCCTAAATCCTAAATCATTTTATACCAAATGATCTACTTGGTGAAATAAATAAGAAGAAAAAAACTTGATAAAATGTTAGTTTGCATTACAATCAACCGCTAATAAATAATTGAATTGCTTTTAGATAATTAAGGTAGATCAAGATATCCAGTGTCCAAAGTAGTTTAATGTCTTTCTATTTATTTATCTATCTCTATCTATATATATATATATATATATATATATATATATAATTGTAACATCTTAAATTTTTAGTAACATTTTTCTAAGACTGTGTTTAACATTCTTATTATAAAAAATATATATTTAACAATCTTAATATTAAACTTATATATGCGTATACTTGGATTTATTTATACTGTTGAATGATAATCCTTAATTAAAATAAATAAAATAGTAATATAGTTTAAAAAATTTATGGAAACGTGTAGTATTTATATTATTACATATCCTAGGTTCCATAAATTTAAGAGATTATATTAAAATAATTTCATTCTAAAATATGTTGTTTAAAATCAATACATTTTATAAATAATTGATTTTAAATTAGTTATCATTCATTTACAAATGAATATTTGTCAATTTAATTTTTATAGGTGTTTTAGAGGTTTTGTCAATATCTCGTGCAAGTGGCCTTATTTGATATTCATATAGGTCATTTTATCAAGTATTTGTTGTAAATCATATATCACTCAAAAACTACGAAAATCATTAAAAGTTTTATAATGCGTCAAGCTTTCACATTTTAAGCTTAACTATAAAACTTGTCTTCTATTAATGCAATTTTAGCACTTTCTCACATCACATGAAGGGACTAAGGCTTTAAAATAAATATCAACCTCATTCATGGGATCTCTAGTCACAAATGTGGGTTACCATCATTTGTTTGTTTTCAATTGGTTTGATTCCCATTTCTCTTGATTTTTCAAAAATCATTTTTCTTCATATGAGTTTTGATAAAAGATCTACTAAGTTTTTTCCTGACTTCACATAACTGATGAAAATTGTTTCATCCTTCAGTAGTTGTTTTGTCATATTATGCCTTAGTTGTATATGTCTAATTTTTCTATTGTATGTTTTATTCTTAGTTATAGCTATTGTTGATTGATTGTCACAATGTATTGACACTCTTGAGATTGCTTTCATTCCTAAAGGAATGTTTGCAAAAAAAAAGTTTCTCAACCACAGCCTCAATACTAGTCATCTTTAAAACTACAAACTTTAACTCCATATTTAATCTAGTAATAACAAATTGTTTGACTAATCTCCATCCAACCACACCACCCCCAAGTGTAAACACGTAGTTACTAATGGATTTTGTCTCATCTAAAACAAAGATCCAATTAGCATCATTATACATTTCTAGCATAGTAGGAAATATAACATAATCCATGGTAACTCTCAAGTATCTCATTAGTCTCGCTAGTGCTTCCCAATGGTCTTGATTGAGACTATGGATATATTTGCTTAGTTTACCTATTGCATATGTAATATCAGGTCTAGAAAAAATCATCAATTGCAACGAGCTCCCTATAATTTGGTCATACCAAGATTAAGTAAAAGAAACTTCTTTTTTTCTTCTTTAGTTTGGAGTTAACGTTGTAAAGGGTAAATCACAAACTTACAATCATAATAATTAAATTTCTTAAGAAGTTTTTCAACATAATGCCCTTGGGATAGTAAAATATTATTACCCCTCCTTACAACTTTAACTCCCAAAATTATGCTTACCTCACCCATATCTTTCATATCAAACTTAAATGCAATAAAATGTTTAGTTTTGAAAACTATATCATTACAAGTATAAAAAATAAGCATGTCATCTACTTATAAGCATATGATAGCACAATTATCATTCACAAACTTGGTATACACACATTTATCAGTGTTACTAAAAGTAAACCCATCACCAAGTGATACTTGATCAAATTTTTCATGTCATTGTTTTGGTGCTTGTTTTAAACCATGCAATGGTTTTAAGAGTTTGCACACTTTATTCTTTTGATTAGGAACTATACACCATTCAGGTTGAGTCATATAATTTTCCTCCTTTAGATCATTATTCAAAAAGGGATTTTTACATTCATTTGATGTATCACTAGCCTTGTATTTCTCTATTGACCCATCAAGGTTATACTTTTTCTTAAAGAACCACTTTCAGGCCATTAATTTTGCTCCTTTAGGTAGGACCATTAAAGTCCATGTATATTTTTTTAAATGTAATTAATTTCAATGCAAATAGCTTTTTTTCCCCAAAATTTGCATTTGAAGAACTAATAGTTTATGAGAAATTTATAGGAACATCCTCAACTAGATAAGTATAAAAATCGCCCTAAAGATTTTTTTCCCTTTGTCTCTTACTTGTCCTTAAGTCCTCAAACACAAGTTCACTATAAGTTTCTAGAGGTGAAAGTTGATTAGAACTAGTACTAGACTTCAAAGGGAGGTTATCCTCAAAGAACTTAACATTCTTACCACTATGATATTACAATCAACCACACTACTTTTAAGGATAAGAAACCCATTTTATCATTTTAGAACTAGTACTATTGTATTTTGGATAAGTCTCATTTAAATAAAAAAAATAAAATAATTGAATGTTACTAAAATAAACATTATTCTTCAAATTCCATAATTGCACACATAAGGGACAATTTGGTGGATTAACACTACAGTAAGTACAAAATATTTTATGTTAAAAAATCTTATCAACAACGAATAAGGATGATGAAAATAGATAGGAATTGAATGGATAAACCTTATTTAAATAAAATGATTTAATATAACTAAAAATAAAATTATTTTCAAATCTCATAATCACATGTGAGGGGGACAAATAGGTGGATTCACACTACAATAAATCCACGAGACCCATTCTCATGAGTACGATCCCAACACCTCTTGTTTGCTTGACGAAAATAGATAGGATTTAAAAGAAAAAACCTTATTTAAAGTTTACTAAGTGTAAATAATATGATACTTAAAAAAAAATTTACTCATATATATATATATATATATATATATATATATA